ATCAAATAATACCTGCCATGAGTATTGCCGCATTCACCATCGGGAGGCGCTATAATCACTCTCGTAGGAGAATTTTTGCTTTCACAATGCAAAATAAATAAAGTTATCCAACATGTGCGTCCGATAGCTCCGCCCCTTCTGCTACGTGAGCAAACCTGCAGTCGTTAAGTGAGTGAAGTGTCCATCATTACACACTTCATTTTACCGGCTGAATGAGTGCATCATCCGGGTAATTAAAGAGCCCCTATTTAGAGTTTTCATTGTGAATGCACTACTTACACTGTTTATACTACAAAATGGTGTAGAATAGTTCTTAAGTATGCGATTTGGGACGCAGCAATGGTGCGTTTTCCAGCTGGTAGTACACTGTGTATATAAAGGAATGGACATGGTCAGCAACAATACTCAGGTAGGCTGTGGCGTTGACACGATGCTCAATTGGTACTGATAAAAACAAAAAATCCCACACTATTACATCGTCACCAGCAGCCTGAACCGTTGATAAAAGGCAGGATAGATCCATGCTTTCCTATTGTTTACGTCCAATTCTGACCCGACCATCCGAATGCTGCAGCAGAAATGGAGACTCATCAGAGCAGGCAACGTTTCTCCAATCTTCTATTGTCCAGTTTTGGTGAGTCTGTGTGAATTGTAGCCTCAGTTTCCTGTTCTTAGCTGACAGGAGCAGCACCCGGTGTGGTCTTCTGCTGCTGTAGCCCATCCGTCTCAAGGTTGGAAGTGTTGTGTGTTCAGAGATGCTCTTCTGCAGACCTCGGTTGTAACGAGTGCTTATTTGAGTTACTGTTGCCTTTCTATCAGCTGGAACCAGTCTGGCCATTCTCCTCTGACCTCTGGCATTTGCGCTCACAGAACTGCCGCTCACTGGATATTTCCTCTTTTTCAGACCATTCCCTGTAAACCCTAGAGATGGTTGTGCGTGAAAATCCCAGTAGGGATCAGCAGTTTCTGAAATACTCAGACAAGCCCAACTGGCACCAACAACCGCGCTACATACAAAGTCACTTAAATCACCTTTCTTCCCCATTCTGATACTCGGTTTAAACTGCAGCAGATCGTCTTGATCACGTCTACATGCCTAAATGCATTGAGTTGCTGCCATGGGATTAGAAATTTAGAAATTTAGAAGCTAATTAGAAATTTGCGTTAACGAGCAGTTGAACAGGTGTACCTAACAAAATGGCCAGTGACTGTATATAATATAGTTGATTGTTTTTGTTATCTGAAAAAAAACTTTTATGCAAAAGTAGCATTAAAGGGTTCATTTTTACAAGATGTAAAAAGCAAACTGATGTCTCTAGAGCAGGGATGGGCAAACTTGATCCTCGAGGGCCAGTGTCCCTGCTGAGTTTTGTTCCAACACAAGTCAAACACACCTGAACATGCTAATCAGTGGCTGCGTCCGAAACCGCCTACTACTCAGTAGGTACTGCATTCGAATTTAAATGTACTACTCGGCCGTTAGAAAAGTAAGGTCTATTGACCTTATTCTGAAATGCGGAAGTGCGCCTGTTTTCGCGATTGTCTTAGAACTTCCGTTTCAGTCTCCTATGGGAGAAATGGCAAGGAATAATAAACGGCAAAAAACGGTCAAACTACTTGCTCTACAAACAAATGTTTGCATGACTATACAGACCAAGTAGAATAATATAACAAGGAAATATCAGTTTGCAACATCAAACAGCGAAACGAGCAGTTTTTAATGTCTAAAAATGAATGGAAGTGAATGAGAGCGGAAGTCTCGTGCCAAAAAGATTCAAATGGCAGCGCCCGCTCGTCTACGGAGAATAAGGTCAATACAGTATGAACGTGAAAAGTATGAATGGAATTCGGACGTACTACATCCGCCATTTTGTCTGGGTCACGTGACCTACCTGCGTCAATTGTGTCGCCTTACTCCCATTCATGAATTCGCTCGCGGGGCATCATGGGATAGCGCAGCATGAATGGGATGCGCACTCTAGAATCTCGCCGGAAGTAGTAAGTCATCCGGGTACTTCTCGCATACTGATTTTTGAATTCTATGAATTCAGACATACTACTCGGCTCGCATACTGATTTTAGCGTACTATAAAGTATGGAAGAATGCGGTTTCGGATGCATCGAGTGTCTTTAAGATCACAAGAAATCTATAAGCAGGTGTGTTTGATTAGAGTTGGAGCTAAACTGTGCAGGACACCGGCCCTCCAGGACCGAGTTTGCCCACCCCTGCTCTAGAGTGTGTGTGTGTGAGAGAAGTTTCAGCTCAAAATACCCCACTAATAATGTTTCCTAACTCTCTGAAACGGACGCTTCTAATTCTAATTGTGCCGCTTTGGTGACTGACACTTTAAAGTGAAATGAGATTATGCTCTTCACAGAGCTACAAATGCCTGTGTGTCAGCATAGTGGCAGATTCAAAACCGGTTTAATTTTATTCTTGTGAAATAGTGAAAACGTGAACAGAAGCGTCTCAGAATGTGTCAGTCTATTGGAGACTCCG